TGGTCCAATACTTAGTGAATAGACCCCATCCTTGAATGGTTATTTAACAAGTGGTCCAGGTGATTCTGATGTGAGGCCCAGTTTGGGAACACAGGTTGGATCACACAGGCTTCCTTTAGAAGTGATGATTTGTCTTTCTCCCATAGATTTGGCAAGGGAAGCCTGGACTGCATTACTTCTCTGAGATTGTTTCATGTCTAAAATTGGGACATGAATGAGTTTTGAACTAGACAGTACTCAGAACAGTCTTTGAAGTGGGTGTTGTTATCACCTCCATAAGGAAACTGAGGCTTGGAGAGGTTAAACAGCTTACCTCAAATCCTGAAGCTAGGAAGCAGCTGAGTCCAAGTTCAACCTTCTACATTATACCATTTTTTTTTCAAGGTCCATATCTTTTCTCAGAAATGGAGCTGGGTTTCCTGGATCAGGAGGTATATGGGAGTGGGCACAGAGGAGCAGGTCAGTTTCTGCAGTTCTGATCATCTTGCTACTGGCATGATGTTTAAAATATCCCCAGGTGATGCTAACGTGGAGCAGTCCCCTTAGGTTGTTGTGACCCGGGTAGTTGGACTGAGCCCTAAGGGTATATTAACGTGGAGACCAAGTTCTTGTGCATGAGTTAACCCCAGTCTGGCCATAGCCAGGAACATGAACAGAAAGACTACAAAGGGAGGTAGGCCTGCTCCCCTAGGAGGTCTGAGGAGATGAGAGTGGGGAGGTGCTAGCAATCAGGGTGCCAGTCTGTTTTGTGCTGCTATAATAGAATACCTGGATAATTTATAATGAGAAGAGATTAATTGACTCACAGTTTTGGAGGTTGGAAAGTCCAGCACCATAATGCCTAAAACCAGGGCACGACCTTGTATGCCTGTAGTTCCAGCTATTCAGGAGGTTCATTTGAGTCCAGATGTTCAGGATCAGCCTGGAAAACAGAGCAGGATACTGTAAAAAAAAAAAAAAAAAAAAAAAAAAAAAAGTTCCTGCATTTGGCCAGGGCCTTCTTGCTGCATCATCCCATTGTGGAAGGCGAGAGAGGGCCAGAAAGGGGAAGAGGGGGCCAAACTCACCTCTTTAAAAGGGTACCAAATCCCACCCACCCACGAGAATGGAGTGCTCAGCCAAATCACCTTTTAAAGACCCTATTATAACAGCAATTAAATTTTCACATGAGTTTTGGAGGAACATACATTTAAACCCTAGCGTAGGATCCCGAGAAAGCTTTCTGCTTTGTGAACTGAGTCTCGCAGAAAGAATTAGCATTTTGCAGTCAAGGAAGAGAAGGGAGAACATTCCTTTCAGGTGAAGGGATCGACTTTGGCAGAAGCTTGGAAAGGGTATGTGTGCTGGGAATGATGGGAGAGCAAAGGATGGAGGTGGGCACTAGGCTGGGATGGGGTGTGGTGGGAGTGGAGGAGATGTGGCCAGAAGGGACCCATGGTGGCAGTGGGGTGTGGGGAGCTAAACTAGGGATTTCATGGTTTTTTTTTTTTGTAAGTTTTTGAAAGACCCTTGGGCCAAAAGGATGTAAGTGGTCTGGAGGGGGCAATAAGAAGGCAGGGAGACCATTGCTAATGGGATCCAGGTAAGAGGGAGTGATGTTGACTTTGAGAGACATTTAGGAAGCTTTGGTGAAACAATCTCAGAGAAGTGACCTTGAAAGTCACTCAGATTTTTGGCTTGATGAGTGAATAAGACCAAAAAAAAAAAAGGATGAGGGGAGGGGCTGTAGCACAGTTGGTAGAGTGCTTGCCTAGCAATAAAGGTGTCCATCTACTATATTTTTTTTAAAAAAAAAAGGACAGGAGGAATGACTGTGTGTAATATTTAACATATGAGTAATAATTTACTGAGCACTTATTGAGGAGGTGCCAAGTACTATGCCAAGCACTTTATATACCTTAAGGTGATTTAATTCAGCAATCCTAGAGGATAGGTACTATTATTGTCTTTATTTTTTTTTAAGAGAGAGTGAGAGAGAATTTCTTAATATTTATTTTTTAGTTTTCGGCAGACACAACATCTTTGTTTGTATGTGGTGCTAAGGATCGAACCTGGGCGGTATGCTTGCCTGGTGAGCGTGCTACCGCTTGAGCCACATCCCCAGCCCCTATTACTGTCTTTAAAAATGAGGAGTATAAATATAGCTTTCCTGAGATTAGCAGATAGCCAAGGTGGGATAGACATCTGATTTCCAAGTGTGGGCTCTTGAGCCCCACCCAGTTCTGCCTGAGGAAACTGTTAGGACCCAAGACACAGCTCAAGGGCTGGTTCTTCTAGGGAGCCTTCCCTGATCCTTCCTGGTTGTGCTGATGGTCCTCATTTGTCATCATGTTTCTTGTACCCTGGAGACATTCTGTAAATTTGTCTGCTTCCCCTTCAGTCAATTCCGGAAGTCAGGGAAGGTCCAAGTCATTTCTGCATCTCCAGTGCCTACCACGTGTTAATTGGCTGGCTGAATGCCAGTTATTCTAGGCAGTTCTGTTCCCTTCTCCTTTCTTACTTATTCAATGTGCAAGCAAATAAGTTCTGCTAATAACAGTCTCCTAAATAGTTCTTTATACTGTTTCTTTCCATCTTAATTGCCAAACTTAGCTTTGGGCTCTTCCCAGTAATAGAGGAAGTGTCCCTAACCTGATAGTGCAGTATAGGAGGCTTCCTATGAAAGTAATTCATGAACTTGAAAACAAAAACAACCAAACAAAAAGAGTTACTTTGTTCAACAAAGTAACTGGGTAAGTACTTAAGGTAAATGGAAAAGCATAAGCAAAGTTACAGGCCTGTAAAACAGTTTGGTCTGTGTGGGGAAATGGGAAGGTATTATTATGTATTACTAAAGATAAGGAAATATGCCAGGCAGAGATCAGGTTGATGAGATTGGGAAGGAAGGTCCATGTGGAGCCATTAAGGAGGTTGGGCACAGGGACTTTTTTTTTTTTTTCCTGTATGTGATAAAATAGATATCTGTTCAGTGTACAGTGGAAATACAAAAGAGGGAGTGAATACTTGCACCCGAGGGGTCACAGGTTTTACTCTATTTCCATTTTTTGTACTCACAATAGCTGCTATTTATTTCCCTGCTTGTGGTGTGCCTAGCACAGTACTTTACGTACATGGTCTTATATAATCCTCACAACATCCCTGAAAAATGGGTGTTATTACTTCTATACAGAAGAAAAGGAAGCTCAGACAGATTAATAATGTTCCCAAGGTCACACAGCTGGAAAGCTAGCTCGGATCCGAAGAGGTCTTAAAACACTAGATTATAATCTCCTAAAGAGAGTTACTTTAGGTCAGGGGTCATGTCTTATGTTTCTGTGTACCCGACCTAGGTCTTAGAAGATGCCTAATAAACGTCAGTTGAATGAATGAATGAATGCTTTTCACTTTCTCCACGAGAAAAGCACGTGGCGACGTCACAGTGAAACCTCCCAGACATGAGGGGGCGCTGTACCGATTTCAGCGCAGTAGGGTCGGGCTGCGCACACCTAGCTCCTTCTCTCCCTTGGCTGGAGCTCAGCCAATCCCTGTGCTCGAGAGAACCCGCAG